ATGTAAAGAGCCGACTGTTCAGTTTTACATGGTCGATTTGTTTAGAATGTTTACGGTAAGGCGCAAACCGCGTCCAGTGTTGATGGCGTCTGTGTGCGTCTCCGCGCATGCGTGTTTGTCGTTGTCCGCAAAATGGCTGCGCTCGTGGGCGTCCGCGCGTGCCTCTCCGGTAAGTTACGAAATGTGTTTCTTTTTCTTTTCGTGTGACATTGACCTTGTTTTCAAGCTACGGGTGTTTTACGTGCGGAATCTATCATTTATACGTGTATATGTGAATGTCAGTGTGGATAGAGGAAGGATGCTCGGGCGTTCCCTAAGCAAGGTCAAGTTCCTCAGTCTTGTCTTATGTACCATAGAGATACAGCAACTTAAATGACAGTAATGCATCAGGTGGTGCATGCGTATGTAACTGAGAACCTGTCCTGTGTCAAGATTAGACTTCTGGGAAATGGATTAGGATTGTTTCAGCCTCGTGCTATTTTTGACAGCTATGCAAAGAGACTGTTTGATTCATTGGTTTTGTTGTGGGTTGATTAATGTGATAACGAGCCCTGTTTTGAATTGTTTTCATTGTTGAAGTAATGTGCGGACTCGTACCTGAATCTGAAGACAGTATAAATCTCATGTAGATGAATTATTAGGTTTGTGTGTGACATAAAGCTAATCCCCCCCCTCATGTTTTCCAGCTCTGCAGTTGACCTCCCCGAGTTTACTGCACAGCTCTTATAAACTGGTGAGTGTTTTCATGTTCAAATGTCCATAACTTCACACAGTAGAAGATTTTATTGAAATGCATTAGAGTAATAATATTATTTAGGATTATCGTAATCAAAATATTGTAAACTGCATAATTATTAAATCCAAATTAACTTAAGCTAACATTTATCAAACCCAACATTTACCCTTTTTTTTTTCAAATGACTTATATATTTAATTGCAATGTATGACAAATAATGCCACTAAGGTATAGTATTATAGGAACAAGTCATATTGAAATGTATGAATGTTTTTTTTTTCTCCTTAGAGCGCAGTTCCTCTAAGTCGAAGGAATTTCGCAGCAGAGGCAAAGAAGGTTTTCTCTCGTAGTAAACCCCATTTGAACATCGGGACCATTGGTCATGTTGATCACGGCAAAACCACGCTGACTGCCGCCATCACCAAAGGTAAACTGACGACTTAATTTTTGCTCTTATTAATCAAAAGTGGTGCGCTGAGTGCATTTTCTTCATCTGTTTGTGTCAGTCCTTGCCGAGGCCGGCGGTGCACGTTATAAGACGTATGAGGATATTGATAATGCTCCTGAAGAGAAGGCTAGAGGAATCACCATCAATGCCTCGCATGTTGAGTACACCACCGCCAACAGACACTACGCTCACACCGACTGCCCCGGACATGCTGACTACGTCAAGGTATTGCACACAGATCACATATCTGACTGCACTACCATTCAAAAGTTTGGGGTCATTAAGAGAAGAAATTAATACTTTTATTCATCAAGGATGCATTATATTAATCAAAAGTGACAGTATAGACACTTATAATGTTACAAAAGATTTCTGTTTCGAATAAATGCTGTTCACTTGAGCATATTATTCATCAAAGAATCCTAAAAAAAAATGTATCATGGTTTCCACAAAAAAACCTGATAATACTAGAGGAATAAATGTTTCTTGAGCAGCGTATTAGAATGATTTCTGAAGGATCATGTGACACTGAAG